CCTGCAGGGGGCAAAAACTGCAAAAATAGCCGATTTTTTCGGAAACAGTTTTTCTGCAATAACTTTTGACCCAAGCCTTGTACGAGCCCACTTTTACCGGCATCGTGTTCCTCTCGTCAAGACGCATCGAATGAACTATAACTTGACCTTGAAAGGTCAACTTGAAAATTTGACCTCAGGTCAAGGTCATGACCTGACCGGAAAGGGTCATGTTGCATATCGGTCGATCCGTATCGTCGAGCTGAACACATCTAAGGCGTTTTCATCGCTCTAGCATGCCTCTATCAAAAGTTATTTGCGAAAAACTGCTAGAAACCATTCGTGACCTAAGATGACCTCAGGGCATAAACAAGGGTCACGGACACCATTTTCATGTTCACTGTGTCTAAATTACTTGTAATTCGGTGTTTGGGAGTGTTTATAATGTCTTTCGTCCAAAAGAGGCGCATTTCAATTTTCTCCCATTGACTTATAATGGGGAGGTCGCAAAATTGACCTGACCTTAGATCATCGATATCAAAATTCTGAGATATACATTTTGTACATGCTATTGCTCTTAGCAATCGCTGAAAGTTTCAAAGTGATCGGTCACTCGGTGTAGCTATGACAGACATTGAAACTTTTATGAGGTGAGGTCACTTCAAGTGACCTGGTGACCTGACCTTGAATGACTTTGGTCTGAAATTTTCACAACATGTGTAGAATTGATGTATGATAAGGTGTACCAAAAACGGCGGCGCTCCGCGCCGCCGTTTTTGAGATATTCGCGAAAAACCACAAGGGGGGTGTTCAAACACCCCCCCAGCAGGGCGCGGGTTAATACTTAATCGATACGGTTTTCTGAACAATAACCCCGCTTAATATTCTTAAATGCCAGTGAAAAGAGAGAGAGAGAGAGAGAGAGAGAGAGAGAGAGAGAGAGAGAGAGAGAGAGAGAGAGAGGGAGAGGAGAGAGAGAGAGAGAGAGAGAGAGAGAGAGAGAGGGTGAAGAGAAGGAAGGAGGGAGTACGCGAGGGAGGGAGGGAGGGAGGGAGGGAGAAACATCTCGCGCTAAATGAGCTCGTCCTCGAACTGTTGCCTCATCGACACCTGGGCCGACGTGTTGCGTCGCCACTGCATATCTGCCCTGGGATCAGCTTCGACGATATCCTAACTCACAGATAGCTCTCGAACTGGGACTACTCCCGCCCAAAGGCGATCAATAGCTCCTCGTCCAATGGCTATTTCACAACGTCCGTTTATCGTTTAACCTATTTTTGTGTATCGTGTCTCCGGAAAGCCTTCAGCGCTGGCTCGGCGTTTGCCGGCCGGGGCAATCGCGGCTGGCTGGGGGTGTGTTGTGGGTGTGGGAGCGTACGGGGCCGCTGCCCGCCGCCGGGCAGCACCCCAATGCCGCCAGGTAATTTGGTGTGGGTGTCTGCGGTGGTAGGTTCTCAGCGGTGACGTCATACTGCGGGGTGTCCTCCGAGGCAGCCCTGTCCTCATTCTGTGTGTCCTCGGCGGCCGGCTCGCTGCCAATCAGTCCAATAGTCCACCACACACGGCCCGATAATGGCATAATGGCTCGGCTGCAGTTATCGTCTGCCTGAGACCGACCCACTGAACACATGAATCACCTTCATGCTGCGTCACTGCGCTTCTGGCTAAGGGGCTGGCAAATGCACGCGGCCTTGGCCGGCTGGGAACTATAACCATTGTTATGACTACCGGCGCAGCGCAGATGATACGCCTTATTCGCGGACAATGCGTCACCCGTCGGTAATGGTTAACATCCACCAATTCCTTATATGGACGGCCATGAGCGTCAGATAGGAGTGTGGTTAATGCTTCATTGACAGCTTGTTCTAGCAGCAATGATTACAGGCCGGGTGGTTATGGGCTCAGATTGCAAAACTGCGCCATTTAACTCACACGGTAGCAGCCGCAGGCAGCGACGCAAATCAGCAATTGCAGGTCTTGTTCCAATTCACTGGAACAATTTTAAGCATTAATCAGATATATTCCTTTCGCAACAAAAGTATCATTTCTGACTTGCAACATGCCAGTATTCTGAATGACAACTGCCATGTAATCCGTACAAAACAAGCTATAAGCTTTAACGTAAAATGCTAGCGGTCTGTAGTGACTGAACAAAATTGCTGTGCTTTCAGCCTGCATACGAGTATAACATGCAGGGAAGTCCCAATAATTAAGAATAGCATCCATTGATGAGTGAAACATCCCTTTGCGTACTGACTAAAATAAAGTTTATCTCCTTGCTTGCTTATATGCACGTGGAATCAGTAATTGATTTTAGCGCCAATTGTGAGCTATACGATTCTCGGGTTTTGAAGAAAGTGAGAGGCCGTATATAGATACCGCTAAGGTTTGATTCTGAGGACGTCTCCTCAATGTCATCATAGTGGGACAGAAGTTCCTTGTTCCCAGGCCGGGCGTTGTGCCATTTTTACGGTCCGATGTTTCCGGGCGCGTGGAGACAACAGCTGGCGAGAGGTGGGATGGATTGGTCTGATACGGTCCACTGCGACTCTGCTCCGCTGCTCGCGTACTGACGTAACGCGGCGTGTACTCTCAGCGAGAACCAGTCGGCCGTACTGTTCCGACGGGAAGCTCCTACTCGGTCTGTGGCTCCAGTTAACGCATCGACCTATTGCATATCACGCACCGTATGTGCCTGTATGAACATACGTGTGCGATGCGATACACTACAAGATCAACCCGATCATGCATGCTCCCTCAAGTCACACCGAATCCTGATTGTTAACCCATATCTCTTGGCGTTAATTATTCATGACACCTCCCACCTATGAACCCGTCTCTCGTATCATACCACCCACTCGTGCACTGTCTGCCCGCTCCGTATCCCCCTCCCCCAACATCCGGGCCCTCCGCCCTATACCAGTGGCACGCGCTCTGTGAAACACCGTACCCGGCCGGGGGCGCTCCGCGGCGGCGAGGGAAGTATCCAGCCGCACCCCAGCCGCCGGCGGCCACCGGCTGATCTGTGCCTCAACTGGGTCACCGTCTCACACTGGTATATGTGGCAATAAAGCGGCGTCAAGCAGCGCCCAACGACCCCGGGCGTATTCAGCGTCGGCCCGATGAGGCCGTTGCCACCCATCATTGTTGGTGGGCTGCGTTGAGTAAGGCCCGCGCTGGTATGTTGATGTGTTGGGAGGTCCGGCCGGCCCGCGGCCATAGGCACATTGCCAGGGTCAGTCGTCATTCCGGTTCAAGGCCAACGCACGAGCTGATGCAAAAAGTGTAATTCATTTGGAGTGTGCATCTGTAGTGCGGCGCACCGGGAGTTAGGTATTGTTTTTCCTTCGAGAAATCGCTTCGTGCCATTGGCTATCAGACAGTCAGGTAGATCTTTTAACGGGAGATTACGAAGACTAAACGGCTTTCGATGGAATGTGCATTGCAAACAAAGCTAAAGTGGGTAACGGGATGGCAGTTAATGCGACATTGTTTTGCAAGGTCAAACATGCCACAATAAAAATGGGACTCGGAGTACCGACCTACTGCTCGTTCAGCGTGCCAGATTAATTGACGTGACCAGATACACGCGGCCGGCGGTATGGCTCTACATATAGTTGGCTGAGCTGTATACGGACGGAAACCGAGAATAAATGTGAACAGATGTTGGCGTTGTAAGTGTTTATGATAAATGATATGCCTACAACTATGTAGAGGACCTGTTGCTGACATACTTACTGTACTTTTTTTGTTTCTTTCCACGCTGCATCGCCCGAGCACATCCCATTACGAGTGTGTCGGTGCCGGTAGAAAAGGCCGTTACACCGCACAGAAGTTTAACCCGGATGGATAAGTTCCTTCTGGGATACACTCCTCACCACGCACTGGCGTCAGGTCAGGTATGTAAAGCATTAAATACATACGGTGACCACCAGCCTTGACAGGGTAAAGCGAACAAGGATGCCGAGGGGCAATCATTCTGAGGGCATCTGCCCTCAGAATGATTGCCCTCAGTAGATGACCTTTTGGCGCTTTCTATACGATAGAGCGCTTTGCTACTTTTTGTTATTAGGTTTTCATTTAACCATCTGACTCGCTCTCAGCAAACTACGGAGAGGAGCGGTTTCCCCTCTGATTTCCTACAACATAGGCATTCAAAATCCTCCGAACCGAACTTTGGGCCTGCTTACTAGTGAAGGTCATTCAAAAGCTTGTTAAAGTATTACCGAATTCTTGAAAAAGATACAAAAGCCGAATAAAAGACAAGAACACGGGAACTCTTTTTTTCTTAGTGATGTTAGCCGTTTTCACAACGGATTGTCTGGCGAACGTAGATACTAAAGTTGACTAAATCTGCACCAAATATTTGTTACAACAATTATGTTCATACCATGCATTTTATTCAGTGTTATAATCGAACAAAAATGTCTGACAATTTTGCAAATCAGGCATAAAGCAACTTTGCAGCCAAAACTGATAAGTTCTAAGAAACACAATGAACCTAGTGTTACCAAACCTGCACCTAATTTGACCAAATGTGCACCTAAGGTGACCAAATGTGTATCAGATAGCCGTCGTGTAAACGGCTAATATCGCTAGGGATTTAGAACTAAACCCGCGTACAAACTCAACAATCATCTTTCATGGCTTCAGAACCATCATAGCTTAGTCCCATCTTGTGGATTTTGCAATAATAGGTATTCATGTCATTAATTTGTTTCTAAGCTCGATTTATTGATAACATATATTCTATAAAAATGCTGTGAGTTTTGATCTCACTCCACAAGGCCGTTACATGAGCAGCATGGTTCTTTAAAGTGGTAAAGGAAGAATTCTTTTAGGAAGCATTACATACATAACTACGTGTATGTAGGTATGTAATAATATCATCGGGAAGCTTTAGTAGCAATACCTACACAGAAACACACAAACGCACGCACAAAAAAACATGTACTTCTTCAGACTTCAGCTGAAAATATGCGGTATTGAGTGGTCAAGAACGCAGTGTGGTGTCCACTGTCCGTGAGTTTGGGGGACGGGGTCGGCAGCGTGGGACCGCCGCTGGCTACCTCCCGCCCGCCGCCGCCGCTATAAAAGCCCGGTCACGGCGGCTCAGGGTATCAGTTGGTGAGCGAGACCAGTCCCACAGCGAACTCTGCTAACATGAAGGTAAGCAGTGAAATGGGATACTGCATTGTGTCTTAACTTTTCTGAACTTTTGCCGATGAGCCAAGGTAGTATTATGGCCTATGGGCTCAAATTAGCAGCCTTAGCAATCCAATTATGGATGTTTGTTACAAAAATTCTTATGTCTTGAATCTTGATAGCATGTGTTTATTCCAACGTTTCGGTCACTCCTTGATAACAATCGACATGTGGTTTTCATTAATGTAGTGGCTCTTGCCAGTCAAAAAGAGAAAAAATGAAGAAAAAATGGAGGGTTTATATAAAGTGTCGAAATTCAAATGAGAAGAGTAGGTACGTGTCAAAATCAGAAGTAAACTAAAGAATTGGCACACAAAGAAGCAGCATCGTCTTATGAGCAAATAACGGTTTTCAATTTATGTTTCCGTTTAATATTCAATAAGCTAAATTACCTACCTTTGAATGCTTGTCACTATGCCAGTAAGAGAAGCTGATGAAGGCAATTGTGACATTTACCTTAGCGGTCATTTATCATATCAGAGAACCGTTCCATAGCATAAATATTATTAAAGTGCTGTGGTTGTGAGAAAAAAAGCAAATGGACATATGCATAAATTTTGAAAAGTATGTTTTGCTTTTTACCATGCGCAATAAACTAATACGGCTCAATTTCATTTCCAGCTGTTCATCGTTGCTGCTCTGCTGGCTGTGGCTGCGGCCGACAAGCCTGCCCCCGCGCCCTACCGCCCGGCCCCGGCTCCGTACAAGCCGGCTCCTGCTCCGTACAAGCCGGCTCCTGCCCCGTACAAGCCGGCTCCGGCTCCGTACAACCCTGCCCCGGCCTACAAGCCGGCCCCCTACCACCCGGAGCCCCAGTACAAGGAGGAGGCCAAGCCGTACGCCTTCGACTATGCCGTGAAGGACGGCTACTCTGGCGCTGACTTCGCTGCCAACGAGAACAGCGACGGCAAGCAGACCACCGGCTACTACAAGGTGGCTCTGCCCGACGGCCGCATCCAGACCGTCAAGTACACCGCCGACCACTATGCTGGATACAACGCCGAGGTCACCTACGAGGGAGAGGCCCAGTACCCCGAGTACAAGCCCGAGTACAAGCCTGCCCCGTACAAGCCCGCCCCTGCCCCTTACAAGCCCGCCCCGGCCCCCTACCGTCCCGCCCCGGCCCCGTACAAGCCCGCCCCCACCCCCGCCTATAACTAAGCATTTTCAAATGCAAGTTCTGTGAACAGCTGTGTTATTTATTTCGTGTTATGCTCATTGTGTCCTGTTTCTGAGAATAAATGTATTTGTGATTACGGATAATGTTTTGTGACAGAGTTTTCGGGAGCTATTTTAGATCGAAATGTTCGTTGTTTGACATGGTTCTGGTAAGTGGATCCGATTTGTCGTCTAGAGAGAGAGAGAGAGAGAGAGAGAGAGAGAGAGAGAGAGAGAGAGAGAGAGAGAGAGAGAGAGAGAGAGAGAGAGAGAGAGAGAGAGAGAGAGAGAGAGAGAGAGAGAGAGAGAGAGAGAGAGAGAGAGAGAGAGAGAGAGAGAGAGAGAGAGAGAGAGAGAGAGAGAGAGAGAGAGAGAGAGAGAGAGAGAGAGAGAGGAGAGAGAGAGAGAGAGAGAGAGAGAGAGAGAGAGAGAGAGAGAGAGAGAGAGAGAGAGAGAGAGAGAGAGAGAGAGAGAGAGAGAGAGAGAGAGAGAGAGAGAGAGAGAGAGAGAGAGAGAGAGAGAGAGAGAGAGAGAGAGAGAGAGAGAGAGAGAGAGAGAGAGAGAGAGAGAGAGAGAGAGAGAGAGAGAGAGAGAGAGAGAGAGAGAGAGAGAGAGAGAGAGGAGAGAGAGAGAGAGAGAGAGAGAGAGAGAGAGAGAGAGAGAGAGAGAGAGAGAGAGAGAGAGAGAGAGAGAGAGAGAGAGAGAGAGAGAGAGAGAGAGAGAGAGAGAGAGAGAGAGAGAGAGAGAGAGAGAGAGAGAGAGAGAGAGAGAGAGAGAGAGAGAGAGAGAGAGAGAGAGAGAGAGAGAGAGAGAGAGAGAGAGAGAGAGAGAGAGAGAGAGAGAGAGAGAGAGAGAGAGAGAGAGAGAGAGAGAGAGAGAGAGAGAGAGAGAGAGAGAGAGAGAGAGAGAGAGAGAGAGACGGGCTTATGTTTGCTCCTGATCTGCCGGATCAATTTCATTTTCTCAAAGGAAACCTTTTCCAAGTTAACTTGCGCACTGACGGGTTCCGCGCCAACTTAGAACCGACGGGGGGGAGGGGGCGGTTGACCGCCCCCCTGAGATCTCGAGAACGAAGCAAGCTAGCGACAAGCGGTAAAAAGCATGGGATATGCACGGACAAGGTCTACAATTTTTATTTAGGTTATTTTCAGGTCAGGTCAAATATGACGTCACAGGGGTGAAAAAGGTCAAAATGGCGGCGCTTGAAATGAATAGTTTTTCTCGAATAACTTTCGAAGTAGCCAAGCTAGGAACTAACTAATGGCATCATTCCTCTCGTCAATCCGCATCGAATCATATATGTGTTGACCTCAAAAGATCAAGGTCAAAGGTTGACCTCAGGTCACTTGACCTCAAGGTCATCATGTTTATCATTCGATGCACCTTGACGAGCTGAGCACAATGAAACTGTCCTCGTGGCCGTATCTCGTTTCTGTAAGGAGTTAGTAGCACAAAAAACTTTGGTGACCCTTGATGACGTCACATGACCTTAGAGCTGCCAAAGAGCAAACAAGGCCTCATGGTAGTCAAAGTTGATCGTATATGAAGTCATTCGTGGTATATTGCGCCATTGCGACGCGTTTTAGTGGAAAAACAATTTCTTGTTGATTTTTCCCTCATTGACTTCCCAGCCAGCCTTCCCAAATGGGGCCCATATGGGCTGAAAGTGGGGCATCTGGGCTTAAGTGGGCATGGGCTACATGTGGGCTATTATCTGGGCTAAATCTGGGTCCCATATGGGCTGAGCCCCAGCAAACATGCCCACATGGGTCCCATATGGGGTGAACATGGGCCAGATGGGCTCACGTGGGACATGGGCTACAGATGGGCTACCCATATGGGCCCCATATGGGATAAAAATGGGCCAGGTGGGCCAAACGCATGTGGGCTGGAGATGGGCATCCCATGTGGGTCCCATATGGGGTAAACATGGGCCAGATGGGCCCAGTGGGACATGGGCTACAGATGGGCTACCCATATGGGCCCCATACGGGATAAAAATGGGCCAGGTGGGCCAATCGCATGTGGGCTGGAGATGGATATCCCATGTGGGTCCCATATCCGGTAAACATGGGCCAAATGGGCTCACGTGGGACATGGGCTACAGATGGGCTACCCATATGGGCCCCATATGGGATAAAAATGGGCCAGGTGGGCCAAACGCATGTGGGCTGGAGATGGGCATCCCATGTGGGTCCCATATGGGGTGAACATGGGCCAGATGGGCCCACGTGGGACATGGGCTACAGATGGGCTACCCATATGGGCCCCATATGGGAAAAATGGGCCAGGTGGGCCAAACGCATGTGGGCTGGAGATGGGCATCCCATGTTTGTCCCATATGGATCACCCATGTAGGCCCCATTTAAGTTACTCCAAGAGCATAAAAGCAAAAAAGGTGACTGTTGTTCATGTGAATTTTGGACTCCAAGTACATCAAGTTCATACATGATGCCATATGGGGTCAATGTAGGCTGGCCCATATGGGTCCCTGATGTGGGGGCCGCGTGGGTCTCATATGGGGCCTACGTGGGCTTGCCCATATGGGTCCCATGTGTCACCCACTGCTATTCCCATGTGGGGCCCATATGGAAGAGGTGGGTGGCCATGTGGGCCCCATATGGGAACCATGTGGGCATGTTTGCTGGGATATGGACATTTCCTTTACTACAAAATGTTGGTATCTGACCCGACACCTATCTGGGCTGGATGCGGGCAGCATGTGGGCAAACTGGACACCAACACGCTGGGCACACCCAGCCGGGGCCCACATGGGGCCCAGCCGCCCACATGGGCAAAATTTACTACAAAACTTTGTTAACTGACCCGACACCTATCTGGGCTGGATGCGGGCAGCATGTGGGCAGACTGGGCACCAACAAGCTGGGCACACCCATTCGGGGCCCACATGGGCAAAAGTTACTACAAAACTAATTGTTAACTGACCCGACACCTACACCAATCTGCAATAAACATTTCCTTTATTACAAAATTTTGTTTACTGACCCGGCACCTATCTGGGCTGGATGCGGGCAGCATGTGGGCAAACTGGGCACCAACAAGCTGGGCACACCCATCCGGGGCCCACATGGGGCCCAAATGGGCAAACTTTACTACACTTTGTTAACTGACCCGACACCTATCTGGGCTGGATGCGGGCAGCATGTGGGCAGACTGGGCACCAACAAGCTGGGCACACCCATCCGGGGCCCACATGGGGCCCAAATGGGCAAACCTTACTACAAAACTTTGTTAACTGACCCGACACCTATCTGGGCTGAATGCGGGCAGCATGTGGGCAGACTGGGCACCAACAAACTGGGCACACCCATCCGGGGCCCACGTGGGGCCCAAATGGGCAAACCCCAGCCAGCATGCCCATGTGGGCCCCACATGGGCAGTTGATGGGCATGGTGGGCTAGGTGGGCCATGGGCTAGAGATGGGCAAATATGTGGGCTGCATGTGGGCTCCACATGGGCTGCCTACATATTTTTTTGGCAGGCATAATGCTTGATAATGAGATTGCTTGCACATGTACGAGGGCATATCCAGGAATTTTGGTGAACACAGGCATTCACGCGGTGTTCCTGTATGGTGGGCTTAACATGGGCACTGCGTGGGCAGCCCATGTAGTGGGGTGTAGGTGGGCTGGATGTGGGCAGCGCATTATTTATTTTTTCACTGTCCAATGTGTATGATATTACAAGAAACAAGAACTCGCTGTTTAGTCTCATGCCTCCAAAATACACTTCGACGTCGTGAGGAAGTCGCATAGTTGATGTTTGTGAGACCAGCTACGGCTGATATTGGACAGTCAATGTTGTGATTGTGTCGTATGATTGTGTCGCCTGAGCCCGCCCCTGCGCGGGCGACCCGCCGGCGGAGCTCGGCCCACCGGACGGGGCCTGGGGCCGCCTCTGCACCGCCCGGGGCGGTGACCGGCCGACCGGCTGGCGGGGCTGCGGCGTCTGGGCGGGCCAGTTGGCGTTGAGACTCTGAGTGGTGTGCGTGTCCAATAAAGCCTTAATTCGGGCGGAACCGACACATGGCGCGGTCGGTATTAGCTCGAACCCGCCCATAGTGAGTACAAAGTGCGATTAACGAAAGTCAAAGGAAGCAGGAATGCGTAGCCGTGGCGGCCGCGCCGCAACCACGACCGCGTTCGAGTCTCTTCGGAGAGGCGCGCCCGCAGCGACGCCAGCTGTATCGCTAGTTGGTCGAGTCGCAGCTGTGACATCAGGACGTAGTCGTCCCATCTCTCCTTCCAGAGGTAGAAGGCGTCACTGCGGTCGGCGGAGATGTCCAGTCGGTCAGGCCGGATCGGCTGCAGGCTCGTCATACCACAGCGATTACGAAGGACTGTTCTAGAAGCCCTCCACGCCAGCCACCTGGGGAAGGAGAAAACGAAGGCCCGCGCAAGACAGATCGTCTACTGGCCCGGGATCTACCGGGATGTGGAAAATGTCACCCGCTGCTGTACCAGCTGCCAGAGAGATCTACTCGCTCAGCAGCAAGAGACCATGATGAGGAGACCGCCAGCGGAAAGGCCGTTCGAACTACACATCGACTTTGCCGATCACGCCGGCAGGAAGTACCTCGTGGCAGTGGACAGATACTCCGGGTGGCTGTTTGTCGCCGACCTCGGTGTAAGCGCCCCCGCTTACACCGGTCCGAAGGACGATAGCAGGCGTCATGACGAGCGCACTCGCTACGCGACTTAGCGTAAATGGACGGCACGGGAAAAGGGCTTTCGGCGGTACCCGGCTTTTTGATGTCGTGTTCAGTAAGTAATGGTTTTATCTCTTTATTTAATTGCCCAACTCCCTTGGACACCTGATAGCGGATGTCAGAATAACAGCAGCACTCCCATTCATATGTTATTTCAGGTGTCGTCAATTACTGTCCGATTAGCGAATTCCAAGCAGCCGACTTATAAAGCACTAATGTCCTTTGTGTCCATCATAATCGGACCTTGTATGTTTATTCTGCATCAGATTATTTCCTGCAAAAAAAAATATCTAAAGTTCATTTCTCAATTAATTCAAGTCAAATCAGATGATGTTACTTTTAATGCAGGTAATACAGAATCATGGTAGAACACAGCACGGGCAATACACAATTCGCTTATGTGTCTGCACCTTTTACATTGCTGGTGCTTATTTTACAGGAGCCGTGCGGCGGAACGGGCTTACCCAGGACACCAACAACGGCCAGCTGGAGGTGGCGCCACGAAAGTGGTTTACGGGTGCCAGGAACCGCGACGGAGGCCGCCAGGAGAGGACACCAGCTGGAGTTTAAGCGGAGGAGCAGATGAGAGAAGAAGTCTAGAGATGAACAGAAGAGAGGAGAGAGTTTAAACAGCATTTTTGTGTTTATCGATAATATAAATATTGATCACTGACAGTTTGTTTTGTTGCGGTGGCGAACGTTCAGCAATGATCAGGGGGAGTGATTGAAATAGCAGACATCGATTATATTATAATCATATTGAAATTAATTGTAGGTTCTGGTGGGAACTAAGATGGGCTTTGGTGAATATTTATTGATTAATACAAACGATGCTAGGGAGGTGAGCCAGCATGGGGCCCACCTAGGGCCCACATCTGCTGGCCCACGTGGACCCCATATGGTACCCACCTTGAGCCCATGTGGGCCAGCCCAGGTGGGCCCCATATGGTACCCACCTTGAGCCCACGTGGGCCAGCCCAGGTGGGCCCCACCATTTACCCAGGGACAAATTTATGTGGGCCCCACATGGGCTGCCCACATGGGTCCCACCAAGTGGCCCACCTGGGCCCCATGTGGGGCCAAGGTAATAATGTTGGCTGGGTATGGGTCCCAGCTGGGTCCCATTTCGAACCCACATGGGCTCCAGGTGGGATTTTTCGCTTATACCCATTTGGGTCCCGGCTGGGAAAGCCCATATGGGACCCGGCTGGGCCCCATATGGGTCCCATGTCGAACGCACATGGGCCCCATGTGGGATTTTTCGCTTATACCTACCCATGTGGGTCCCGGCTGGGAAAGCCCATGTGGGACCCATATGTGCCCCGGCTGGGCCCCATTTGGGTCCCATTTCGAGCCCACATGGGCCCCATGTGGGATTTTTCGCTTATATCCATGTGGGTCCCGGCTGGGAAAGCCCATGTGGGACCCATATGTGCCCCGGCTGGGCCCCATATGGGTCCCATTTCGAACCCACATGAGCCCCATGTGGGATTTTTCGCTTATACCCATGTGGGTCCCGGCTGGGAAAGCCCATGTGGGACCCATATGTGCCCCGGCTGGGCCCCATATGGGTCCCATTTCGAACCCACATGGGCCCCATGTGGGATTTTTCAATTATGCCCATGTGGGTCCCGGCTGGGAAAGCCCATGTGGGACCCATATGTGCCCCGGCTGGGCCCCATATGGGTCCCATTTCGAACCCACATGGGCCCCATGTGGGATTCTTTAATTATACCCATGTGGGTCCCGGCTGGGAAAGCCCATGTGGGACCCATATGTGCCCCGGCTGGGCCCCATATGGGGCCATCTGGGCTGCCCATATGGGACCCAGTTGGACGCCCATGACAAACACATCTGGGCCCCAAGTGGGCAGCCCAGATGGGCCCCAGTTTGCTGCCCACTTGGGGCCCATATGGGCCCCATTTGGGAAGGCTGGCTGGGTTATGGTCAGGTCAATAAATTGACCTGACCTTAGGTCATCGATATCCACATTCCGAGATAAACAAGGTGTAGCTATCAATGACCTCATTACATCCTACGACTTTTAAAGGCCTCCGTCATCTACTGTAGCTCTGACACGATGACAAAGTTGCAAAAAAGTGAATTGAGGTTGGGTCATTCGAAGTAACCTGGTGACCTGACCTTGAAAGTAGGGAGGTTCAAATTTTTACACAATGAGTAAAATTGATGAGGAAAAAGTCATGCCAAATTTCGCGGCGTTGCGCGCAGCGGCTTTTCCGCTATTCACGAAAAACCTGAGGGGGGACGGTTACCCCCCCCCCCTCCGTCGGTGCGCGGGTTAAAGTGTATGAGAACAGCATACCTATGTAGACTACTCTATATCTGGACTGTGCACGTAGCGATGGAGAATATTATGACCATTCATTGCAAATGATAAATATGGAATATCAGATGGTTAATTTCAAATCATAAGTCTGATGCATCGCACTTCGGTTGGTGGATTGTTTGACACTTTGACTGATATGTGTGGTCTTCCGTTCCACCTGATCACAAACCACTATATATACCATACTACAGGATCTTGTACCTAACACTTCTAGAGGTGCAGTAAGTTATAAAATGCAGCGATGCACATTCGAGCGACTGGCGCCTTTAATTTACCACGTTTCACTATTTTTTGTTTGTTAATGATGCCCAAAACTTTTTTTCTTGCCAATATTCGGCTAACGGAAATTAGACGCATGCGGCACTTGCTGTCTGAAATTGGGATAATTTCGCGCAGGCCTAGCTAGCCATGCATAGCCAGCTTCTAGTAGCGAGCTCTAGAATAATGGATTAACTAATAATAGCTTGGAACACAAGCGGTCCAGTCGTTCATGCGATGCAGAAGTGGGTCCTGCACGTGCGCACGTATAACATAGGTATTTCTATGGCATGTAAGCACCTGAAAATCCATCGCCCGGCGGGTGCCCGAGGAAGAGTTAAGTTCCAGCGCCATCGGCCCAGTCATTACAGCATTGTCGTGCTAAAATATTTCCGATCAAGCAATCCCGTTTGGCGCTTCGCACTTACTAGTCATAAAGCTGTGAAAGACTTATCAAATGCAAGAATGCCTTTCTATACTGAATGATGTAACCATAAGGCTGCACAGTCCACTGATATCATCGATAAGATAGCAATTAATGCTGTTTTTGATATTTCTCACACAAAATAAAATCGCCCAAATGGACTAATAGCTATACCAGATGTATCCTTCTACATGGCAGAAGTTTTGATGGATCATTCATGACGAAGGACGGGCACCCTTCACTGCCGTTAAACCTATAGTCGCCGGGATTTATAACTATGGTTAAGATGGCGAGGACTGATATAATTTAATTTCTTGTCGTGCCGCTGTGACTTTTCAGACACCACACTGACTGTCCTCAGCTTCATAAGTAATTCTTTCACCAAGGTTCCATTCAAAGTTAAATGAAGACCACTGAAGGATTCAAGAGGGCATTTGGGGAAACATGCCACCCTGTCGATGTCAAGGTCGATAACGTTTTGATTTTTCACGAAAAAATTAAGATAAATAACTTAATTGAAAGAAACCTGCATAATAGCCGTTTTCACGACGGCCATCTGGTCCACATTTGGTGCACATCTGGTGCAGATTAGGTGCATATTTGGTCAAATTGGGTTCAGTGTGTCTCTTAGTAGCTATCAGCTAGGGTTGCACTAATTGCTTATATGCCTGCTTTGTCATATTATCAGAGGGTATCATCGATTAAAACACTGAAATAAATTTATAAAATAAAGATATTTGCTGTAAAAGAGATTAGGTGCAGATTTGGTCAAATTAGGTGCATTCGCCGGATAGCCCGTCGTGAAAACGGCTAATATACACTGCAAGGCATAATTAAGCGAAAGCCATGCATTTGTTGAATTTGAAAACAATTTTTTTTAGTAAGTCCCAGCAGCGCTAGACAGTAGACACCGTCTTTCTGGATCATCAAAACGCCATATACGTAGAACAGCCGAAGGAAATTGCATGCCACGCAAGACCATGTTTTGCGCAAGACCATGTTTTTTGATGCAGTGACACACTGACACATAGCTCGTCACGTCCGGATCCAAGAGGCCGTAAGGCCTTCCTAAATTCCGCATACTATAAGTAAGTAAGTAAGTAAGTATGTTTCATTCCTTCCACACATCAACTACCACATATGTATTGCTAACAACTCATTGCAATCCTCCCCAAAGTTTGCAACTTCTTTTATAAACCTCTCAGTTTGCATCGCCACAAATGACGAAGAAAAGTGTGCGAATAGGCACCCCAGATAGGTACTGCTGCGGTATATACCTATACCACGATGCAGCTTACGCACATAAGTCTCACTTCTCAGGAAGGAAAAAACGCAAATGATAAATCGAACAAATATGTATTGTTCACGATGGTAGTCACATAATCAACAAGAAACACGCATAAATATCACATAATTACTCGGGCACCTGAAGGGAATTAGCCTTAGTTGTAAGCAGGGGTAGGCTTGTAAGTGGGGGCGGGCTCATAAGTGGGAGCAGGCTTGTAGGTGGGGGCAGGCTTGTAGGTGGGGGCGGGCTTGTAGGTGGGGGCGGGCTTGTAAGTGGGGGCAGGCTTGTAGGGGGCCGGGGCGGGACGGTAGGGGGCAGGGGCGGGCTTGTACGGGGCAGGCTTGTACTCGGGCTTGTACTCGGGGTACTGGGCCTCTCCCTCGTAGGTGACCTCGGCGTTGTATCCACCGTAGTGGTCGGCGGTGTACGTGACAGTCTGGATACGGCCGTCGGGCAGAGCCACCTTGTAGTAGCCGGTGGTCTGCTTGCCGTCGCTGTTCTCGTTGCGGGCGAATTCAGCGCCCGTGTAGTGGTCGTTGACAGCGTAATCGAAGGCGTACGGCTTGGCCTCTTCCTTGTACTGGGGCTCCGGGTGGTAGGGGGCCGGCTTGTAGGCCGGGGCCGGGTGGTACGGAGCCGGAGCAGGCTTGTATGGGGCAGGAGCCGGCTTGTACGGAGCCGGGGCCGGGCGGTAGGGCGCGGGGGCAGGCTTGTCGGCCGCAGCCACAGCCAGCACAGCGGCAACGATGAACAGCTGGAATAGAAAGTTTATTTCAATATACACCAAAGCCTTCCGACACATTTTCTTTACAGACGGACTGTCGAGCTAAGGAATGCTGAATATATGCTTATTTTAGACTAAAACAATTTCTTTTCGAGAAAGGGATAGTTTGGAAATGTTTTAGATTTCAACTTACTTAATCTTTTTTCGCTGATTCTTATGATGTTTAAAAATTTGATAAGAACTTTGCTAAAATGTATTTGATTTTAAAAGAAAAATCATGAAAATAGATAAAATTGACGATAAACATAACTTTTCAGCAATTTGTTCCTACTTACTTTTTTGACTTGAATGTTTAAATGAAAACCAATGAAAATAGATGGAAGGGAATATAAACACACTCTCGGCAAAACGTACTTAAAAAATGATAGAAATGCAGGCGTCCAACATTGCTTCCCCCCATATCTACCTATTATTACATCCTTTTTCAAGCTATTTGACCGAAGACATGCGCCGGCCATCCTATACATCGGAGAAGCAAGCTCGAACCACACGGCCTCACGCAGCGCCGCCGCTTACCTTCATGTTAGCAGAGGAGCGTTCACTGTGGGACTGGTTCCACTCACCAACTGATGCTCTGCGCCGCCGTGACCGGGCTTTTATGGCGGCGGCCTCACCAGCGAGATAGTCACCACCAGGGCGAAGGTAACGCCAGCCATCGACACTTCGCCCTCGCCGCTGGAGTGGCTTTAGTTGTAGGGGAGACTGGGGCAAAGCGGCCACCCGGGGCAAAGTGGCCACTCCGTATTTTAACCATTCACAATAGATGTCAACTGCAGCTATTGGTTGCCAATTATAGTTTTCCTCGCCGTCGTTCGAATGAGCCTGATCGGGTTTCCGGCCCGTCGCCATTGTTTTGCGATACACAAAAAAGTACTTCTTCCCAGATGTCTTACGGTTTTTTTTTAATGTTATTTTTTTCCATAACCGTCTGTAATTTCATTTGAGGGTTCTTGTTCACCCATTGTGTGGTTATCGTACATGTCTTCTACCAATTGTAATGCTTTAGCCCCACTTATAGCTGAGGTGGAATATTTTAGTCTTGGACTGTGTGGACTGCGGGGCAAAGTGGACGGGGCAAAATGGCCAGCTCCCAATTCAGTAGCGGCGGAACACCTTCAATTAAGGGAGGCACTGCCGACTTTTGGTCCCATTCTTTCCATGCAACGCCCATAGGGCCAATATTAAAATGCCAAAATCAAAGGGGGCACGGTGCCCCGGTGCCCTCCCCGTTCCGCCCCCTATGTCCCAATTGTCCCAATCATTTCCATCTGGACAAGAAACGTTATTGATATTTAAATGTATCAACTGCACAGTGCTGCACAGTGCACTGATATCATCGATAAGATAGCAATTAATGCTGTTTTTGATATTTCTCTCACAAAATAAAATCGCCCAAATGGACGAATAGCTATACTAGACGTTCCGCCCCCTATGTCCCAATTGTCCCAATCATTTCCATCTGGACAAGAAACGTTATTGATATTTAAATGTATCGTCCTGCTTTCATTTCGGCCGCTTTCTGGTTACACGAATTACCATAAAATGCAATGCGCTGTTTTTCCATGAATATCCTTGCATTGTTTGGCTACAGGTGGGAAGATGATAACATAAACATCCATCCTCGTTTAAACCTTGTTATCATCAACAACTCTAGTCGTCCATAAGGCAACTGACCTTCTCATGTTGGGGCAAAGAAATCGCCGGTGTCCACTTTGCCAAGGGGGCTGGGGCAAAGTGGCCAACATGCAACGATGTAAAGTTTCGCCAATATCCTCTAGATATGAACGCCTTTAGAAATGACACAAAGTTGAAATGAAAGGCAATTTAATGGGAATCATGTTGGCTTAAGAAGAATCTTTCCAAGTTTGAAAGGAGGCGTCGGCATAGAAACAAAAATAAGGGTGGCCCCTTTGCCCCTGTCTCCTCTACGTGCATGCTCTTCGTGCTTCATACCTATAAAGGGCGCTCTTTACATATAATCTGCTTTTCTTTTACGCGGATAACTGCAGTTGTGTGCCCGGTGAGGGTAGTACAATAAAGTACAATAAAAACTGAGGGTAGAGGGCAGTACAATAAAAACTGCAGTCAAAGTGCTTTCACAGCGTCTCCTCCTTCGTTTCTGGCTCCAGTTTCATGTCTGACTACATAGGTATAAATTTATAGACAAAGGAACATTTGGTTGCCTTGCATTGACATGCCTAATGACGCAATAAACCCATATCTATTTTGGCAAGAACTGCTTCGACCTATGGGCCATAGGGCTAATGTTAAAATGCCCAAATCAAAGGGGGGCACGGTGCCCCGGTGCCTCCCCGTTCCACCGCCTATGAGCACAGGTAGGCCTTGTTCCAATTACTGAATCATTCATGATTGACAAGCGAGAGCGACGTCGTTTCGTCAAAAATTATATCATGCCGGTGCTTAATTATCAATTATGTATAAGAACAACACACCAAAGCTCTTCGAAGCTATGATTGAACGAGAAAGCTGTCTTGTTTTGCATTTACAAAGTCGTAAGAGATCTGGGAATCTTCATTCAAATCAATAAGAGAAATAACAGAACAACTATACGACCTTTTATCTGACATCAAAGGTCACTAAATAATTGAAAGGCTAACATAGATTAGATAAGATACCGAAAGCCTTCTCCCTTGACCAGCAAAACGTTTATTTTTCCTCGAGATTTAGCCCTCGCCTGTGTGCGGCGTTTTCATCTCATCTCACATGTTTGAACGTTTAAAACCACAAAAAGACTACAAACGATCGGATAATGTGAGCCGACATATTCCGTATCGTGATTCCGCCCAAACATGGTTTCGAGAAAGAGGTCACAAGTCAAAGGACATTTGGGTCAAGATCGTGAAATTTTCAGGGCCAGGTGTAAAAATTAATCAGCTCGAGGGTATGCGACTTTCGTTGCGATAGGCCACTTTTTGCGCGATTTATCCGCAAAAAACCGAGAGGGGTCCATCCGACCCCCCACAAGTGCGAGGTTTAAACTAAAAGTCAATTAGAGCAAAACACAAAGGTACATAAATAAACAGAATATAGGGTCGCTTCGAATCTCCTGACCGTCTTTCTTTCTTGGCTATCCACGTTATGAAAGATATCCGGCTCAGATGAGTAGGTATTTATTATTGCAGGTGACACTGATCCTGTTCTCTTGAATGTTTAATATGATGAAAACATCAAAAGGCTGACCGAATCTTTGCAAAAACTGAGCTGCACAATGCAGATATTCACTTTCTCTTGCCGAAATGAATTAAATATTTAAATATATCAGGCATGTATGCACTTACCTAATTGTTGTTTAAGATGCCTGCTTTAAAACTTTTAGACGGCAACAAAGAAGCGAACTCGTTTGACGCGCTTCACATTTCTCTTTGACTGCCGCTCTTCAGAAGGTTGGAATATGGGTGCCCAGTGCCCACTCGGCGACGGCTGATGGAGACGGAGATCCGTCCGACTCGCACCTCACCCGTCCCGCCCCGCCCTTTACCCGCCCCTCCCCGCACGTCACCCGCCCTTCCCCGCACGTCACCCCCAACCCGACCCAGTCCGGTACACAGCCATCCCATCGACTCTGGGACTGGTAGCAGGTGCCGCGTTTTGGTTCCTGTATCGCTCGCTCCCGTGCAATGGGGTCAACACTAGCCGTTTTCACGATGGGCTTCACATCACATCACATCACATGTATTTGAACTTCCAGGCGCATGTATAAATTAGTACAGAAGAATCCACGTGCTTAAGTCAAGGTACAATATTTACACTGGTCCTTCTGCCGTGAAGTGAAGGTTTCTTGTTACATATATGGTGCGATTTGGTCAAATTAGTTTCATAGCTGATTCTTAAAAGTTTTCAGACTGAATTGAACTGTATAACTATAGTTGCTTGTATACCTGATTTATCAAATTATTATACATAAATTTCTATTAAAAATTGAAATGATTTCATGATGTGAAGATGATTATTGTGCAAGATATTTGGTTGGAGTTGGTCAAATTTGGTGCACTTGCCAGATTATAGCCCGCGGTGAAAAAGGCTGGGCACGGCTAGCACGACTTGGTGGCCCGTCCCTCGGAAAGGTCTCAGCTGCGGCGGCGCATCGTGGTGGCCGGCCAGATAAATTTCTTCCGACACCTACAATATCCTAATATCCCGCAGCCATGGAATGGCTTCACTTAACCGGGAGGCTCTGAAATCAACAAAATAAGGATGGCCTCGCATACTGCACGGATCACATCGGCAAACCAGTGATATTTGTCTTCTCGCCGAGAGTAGCAACAAAAGGGAAATATTGCATTTTGGTTGAATTAAACTTTTACCTATTACTTCGAAACTAAAGACAGCGAGTTGAGCCAGTGACGGTCTCTCTCTCTCTCTCTCTCTCTCTCTCTCTCTCTCTCTCTCTCTCTCTCTCTCTCTCTCTCTCTCTCTCTCTCTCTCTCTCTCTCTCTCTCTCTATCTCTCTCTCTCTTTCTCACCTCTCTCTCTTTCTCTCCTCCTCTCTCTCTCTCTCTCTCTCTCTCTCTCTCTCTCTCTCTCTCTCTCTCTCTCTCTCTCTAAGATGTGTAGCATCGCGCGTCTCTGTGATGTCAGGCTTTTTTACTGACTAAAGGCATCACATTCGAATTATCCCAACCTTGTCGATAAAAATCCATTTCATGCAAGGAAAGACGACTGTATAGTGTATATTAATTTAATCAAAGTAAGTAAAAAGTGTTCGTGAATGGGTATTTGTGGTTGTTGAAGTCAAATTAGTTTCAAGACGTGGAAAGGTATAAGACAGGGGGGGGGGGCTTATGAACAGTCTGAGAAATAGTATGATGAGTAATAAGAGCACAGGTAAGTCATCACCACAGAGATTGGTATGTTCGGTGTCCGTGGTTGTGCGAGGCGGAGTCAGAGGCGTGGAACCACCCCCGGCTACCTCCCGGCCGCCGCCGCCGCCATAAAAGCCCGGTCACGACGGCTCAGGGCATCAGTTGGTGAGTGGAACCAGACCCACAGTGAACTCTCCTCTGCTAGCATGAAGGTGAGCGGTGGAGTGGGAAGAAGACGCACGGCCGAGACATCCTACCGGTCACAGACGATAGGGAATGGAACGGCCCTGGTCTGTGCGTTTGACGATCTTTGATGAATCATATCATACACTGTAAAAAAAGATTAGCACCCCGGTGTGCTAGTCGGATGCTGCGGTTCTGGAACAAGAGCCCTGGGTGCTTATCCTGTACTTAAAATGTTCTACATTTAGCAGTCTAAGACTCTTAGGTACTTGTCTAAGCTCCGAAATTGACAATTTGCCCGCACTTGAAGCACTTCCCTGCTTCAAGGGTGCTTGGAATAGCACCAACGCACGGATGGTGCTAATCTAAGCATCAGTTTTAAGCACCATGATCAAACTTCAGAGCTGATGAAAGCACCCAAAATATGCTTCATCGATTTTGGCGGGAACATCGCATCCGTTCGGTGCTAATTGGTTTGCTTGTTCAGTATCTGGGTGCTTACGTCGTACGAAAAAAGCAGCGAATTCAGAAAGCGCGCGGGATTCGCGACGCCATTTGCATTTGTCAAGTCAGTTGTGCGGGAGAGCTCGGCCGGGTTGGTTGGTCCATGTGCGTGCGGTCAGTGATAGAAA